ACTTTTTACTCATCATAGTATATAAATGATATTTATATACTTACATTTTTATATTTATATAAATATCATTTATATACTGTGATGAGTAAGGTTGTGTGTCAGTTTGGCTACCAATGACTGATACTCTGGTTTGGCTGCTATAGAGTGAGTAAGTCATTCTCTTGATGAGATCGGATGGAATGTAATCCTTTTCTCCAAGCTATCTCATAGAATCACTTATTTTTATGCTCTATGCCTTGACCAACCAATAAGCTGAAAGGGAGTTGCATGAGAGGTGTGGTCTACATTGAATAAATATGGAAATCTAACAAAGTTTTCTTGTTTTTCTTAAATCTGGATCCAGTGCTACCTTGTCACATTTAATTCTTAGTCTTAAACCAATAGTCTATATCATACAGTGACTAGGATTTGTCAGCTTTTACAGTCACACGACATAAGGAGAAGCCTCTCTTCTGAGGTCTGACTCAGAGGCTTACCAATCTGGGACTTATCAGACTCTATGAGTCAAAAGTCATATCCTTGTGATAAATTTCTCTGTGTGTGTGTGCATGTATGCGGCTAGATAGACAGAAAGATGGGTAGAGATAGAGATATAGAGCGACATACAGATATGTATATAGATATACACAAATATGCATATGCACATACAGAGAGAAATTTGTGTATATATGTGGAAGTGGGTGTCATAGGGAGTTCTGGTGGCTTAAGTTGTGCTGCCAACTCAAAGGCACGTGATTCAAATTCACCAGCTATTCCACAAGAGAAAGATAAGATGATCTCCTCTTCTGCAATTACTCTCTCTGAAAACCCACTGGAATGTCATCTATGAGACAGTTCCAACTCAATCCTCAACAGTACATAACAACAACAAATATACACACATATGTATATGCACACACACATACAAATATTCCTATGTATATATACACACATAGTATATATGTGTACATAATTCTCTGGTTTTGTTTCCTTAGAACCCAGCCTAAGAATTCTATTTTGTACAAAAATTAACTTTAAAAAAAAAAGAATCATTATCTAAACCTAAAAGTTAAAAGTATAAGACTCTTAGAAGAAAACAGGTAAATCTTCTTGGTTTCAGATGAGACAAGTTTCTTGGATATCACAGCAAAACACAAGCAAACAAAGGAGAAAAAAACAGAAAGTCTGACTTCATGAAAATAAAAATCGTCTGTGTGTCAATGGATATAAGGAAGTGAAAAGATAATCAGAATAAAAGAAACTGTTTGCAAACCATATTTTTATGGATCTAGATAGATAGCTACAGAAAATATAAACAACTCTACAACTCAATAGTAAGAAGGGCAATAATTCAATAAAAAATGGACAAGGACAAAATTTGCATTCCATTTTGGTATTGACTGGGTTTTAGAAAAACCCTTGCCAATAGCCATTTAAGGTACTCCCTGTGGGAAAAAAAAAAAGATAGCGAGAACAGGGGCAACAATGTCCCGACACAACTAGGCCAAAAGACAAATGGATCACTGGGACCTCAACTTTCATGATGCTGAGATCAGAAGACCTAAATGATGCCTGGCTATCGTCACTGACAACTCTAAAATAGATCACAGTAATCTGAAATGGAAAGGAAGAGAAACCCGTATTTGCAGATGGTATAATGCTATCTGGAGAAAATCCCAAAGAATCTACTAAAACATTTCTAGAATTGAAGGATTCAGAAAAATTAAAGGATATAAGATTAACATAAAAGAATAAGTTGGGTTTCTGTACAATAGCAATGAGAAATCTAAAAAGGAGAATAAGAAAGTAACTCCATTCACAATAGCATCTCAGTGAATAAAACACATAGGAAAAAAGATTTATACCAGGATGTGGAAGACTTAATGAAAATTATGAAAAGGAGGAGTAAAGAAGATCTAAAGATGGAAGATGTTCTATGTTCATAGATTAAAAACTTCCTATAGCCAAAGCAATCTACAGATAAGCACTATCCCAACGAAAAATTCCAACAGAATTCTTTATGTGAAAAAAACTCCTAATCTTCAATTTTATCTAGAAAGACAACAGACCTGAAACAAACCAAGTAGTTTTGAAAACGAACACCAAGTAGAAGATTTCACACTTCCTGACTTCAAAATATATTAGTATAAAATGCGTAGACTAAACAACAGACGCATAAACTAATAGAACAGAGCTAAGAACACAAAATAAATCTAAACATATCTGATCAATTGATTTTCAAGGGAGCGAAATCTATTCAATAGGGAAGGAATAGTCCCTTCAACAAATGGTATTGGAAAACCAGATTTTCACATGCAGAGAAATCAAAACATGATTCACACCATACACAAAAACGGATCACAATGCATCAAAAACAGATCAAAATGGATCAAGACCAAAACCACAAAATTAATATGGAAAAACCTAAGAGCAAATATTTTGGGACCTAATTTTTTTTTTTTTCCAAAGACTGCACAAGTAAAAAGACTTCCTGAGACCGCTACTCTGGGGTGTCCTTTATATCCCAAATCAAAATTCACCCCTGAGGTCACTTTTAGAGTGGCTCACAAAGAAAAGAATTTCACCAGTGAGTGCCATGCTCCTTTCAAAATTATCTATCTGAGACCATCTGGTCAACAATTACTTTAAAATAAAGATGAGAAGGTAAGGGCACAAAGAAGCGAGACTGAAGAAGACACAGAGCGAGACACCATGTGGGCTTTCATATGTGATGAGCCTTTTTGCAAACACTTTTCAGCTCAAACTGCATGGGTAAACATCCTCGCTTCTCCATTTATAATATAATCTTTAAAACTTAGCCAGCATAAATGCATATTAAAATGATCCCTATGAGTCAAAGAAAAATTTTATTTAGAAAGGTAACTTGGGCAATGGCCCAGAGGAGGGGAAATGTAGCTGTACAAAATGGGGAAACTATTTTCATTTTTTTCAAAATATAATAAAAATTTGCCAAATGCAGCAAACCAGTTATGTCTGTAAAAGAATGATCCTGATCTACTCTGCTTTCAGCAGAAAGCTTGTTCACCTTGAATCTAATCATCACGTCGCTAATAATGCTTGTATGTATAGTGAAATCACATCCAGACATTTGCTTTTCATTTCAAGGCATTTTAATTTACAACTACTTTAAATCCCTCCTTAAAGGGTCAGAAGTTTAGGCTATTGGCAACAAGCACTGGCAGCTCACTTCCTCAAGTAACAGTTACAGCACCGGACACTGTACTTGCTGGGGCTAGTGCAGTTAACAAAACAAACTCCTTTTCAGTGTAAAGTTCTATCAGATGTTAAAGTCTCATCTCCTTAAAGTCAGCACAGACAATGAGTCACACAAACCAATTAAGAGCAGCGGGGCTGCGGGTGTGTCTTTCAGCTGAGTGACAGTCCCCATTGGGCACATCCTCACTACTTCACATAAAGTGTCACCAAGGGCTTAGGGAGTCTCAGACAAGTTGTGTTACAGAGCAGAACTGCTACACAGGGGTTTCTTAGCTCTAATCCTAATGTAAACTGAGTAACAGGTCTTTTCTTCCATGGTACTCTTGGTGGGTTAGAACAGCCAACCTTCAGGTTTGCAGGTAAATTTATACCATCTAGGTATAACCTTACCAAGATGGCTAGCTAACTAAGGACCACTATTTCTGAGTCCATTCTGACTCCAGCAGCCCTACAGGATGGATTAGAAATGTTCTGCAGCATTGTCAAGGCTATAAATTTTGGCAGAAGCAGACAGCCCCATCTTTTTGCTTCCGAGTGGCTAGTGGAGTCAAACTTTCTAGTTAGCAGCTGAGCACTTAGCCTCGAACCAGCAGGGCTCCTTACCAAGGGCTTAGAAGATTCTAAGTGTTAGAGTGAAGTTGTTAGGAAAGGGGCTGGATTATGGGGTGAAAAAGAAAGGGGCTCTAGTCGGTCTGCTTCCTTAGTTGACTTCTCATCTGTCTTGTAACTTCTCAAAGAATTCAGATTTTCTATGAAATCTGACACACATTAAAAGGTTATCACACTATAACTTGATTCGTTTTATAGTTTATTGTGTTATCTTGAAACAAAACAGTGGCCAAAACAGATCTTTACAAAAAAGCATATCTTAGGATCAAAGTATTATCAGGAGGTGCCAAGTAGTAGTAACTGTTCCGGTGGGGAACCCAGGGGCTAGAATGGGGATCAGGCCAACCTCTGGCTGGCCCCTTCTCATTGTTTTATCTTGAGGCCATGGCCAGAGGCCATCACTAGTCCATCAGGATCCTTGCCATTGGGGTTTTCAGGCTGTGGGTGAAAAAGGTCTGGCAACTCTCAAGGCAGGGCTGAGTGATGACAGGCCCCAGGGTCAGTGTGATGACCCCATGTGTGCCCTAGTAGACATGAAGGAGTGAATCCCTGAGAAACTGTTGACAATCCTCTACCATTAATATTAGATGCATGACCTCCATTATCTCCCACAGCAGGGCTTAAGTGAATCCGTTCCCCAACGCCTAGTCCGCCTTGTAGAAGAGGCCATGGACAATCTGCTACCTTTCTAAACAGCAACCTTTAAGGAAAAATCCTTGAAAACAGCAGCCATTGCCAGCCAGTGCTTAGAATACTGAATGTTAATTTTCAGGGCCTGAAAATTAGAAGCAAAAGAGGCCTGGGAGAAGTGGCAGAATTAAAGAAGCTAGAAGATTTTAAAGTTAGCAAACCCACCAGAGAGCTAATAAAGAAAAAGTATTTGTGGCTGGATAAGCGAGGCCTCTATAACTCACTAAGTTTACAATGGAGCCAATACTTCAGCAAAATGACGTTAGGACATTCTTTGAGTCCAAGCACTCCATTAAAGACAAGCAATACACCTGCACAAATTACTCTAATTCTTTTTCAAATCAGTTCAGAAAAATTCTTGAAATGGGGGATTTAGACCTTGAGCCTCTGGATGGAATCACCTATCATACCATAAAAGGTTCAAGAGAAGTCCCCACACTTAACCAGTTGATTTTATGCTCAAGCCTCCCATAGGGAGTTCTTACCAGGGTTCCATCTGTTAGGGTGCAGCCGGAAAAGCGTTTTGCAAGAAACCCCTCAAAATTAGTGGTTCTCTGAATGGCAAAGAGAAGCAATTTCACCTCGATTTCTTTAGCTCTGGTACGCATAATCTTGGCAAGTTCTGTCCTTTGAAACAGATAAGAGTATTGTCAAAAACTAATCATTCATTCAACATAAGACAAAGAAAATGGTTTTAACTCATATTCAGAGAAAAGAAGCACATATGGTCATTTCAAACTCTGAGCTCTGTTACCAACTTAGTTAACATCTGGGGATGAGAAATCTAAAATTTAAATTTAAAAACTGAGGTGAAATTACACATCAGTAAAAAAAAATTATAAATTTTAGCTTACATGGTATTACAACTATTTTCAGACTCTTAAACCTGTCAACAATATGTTAATGATTGTGAAATACTTATTAAGGGCTTTATAAAAAGTAGATATTCTTTATAAGTTCATCAGGAAATTCAATAATCATCTCTTCAACTAGAACTGAAGCACTGAAATACACATGAGGCTCAAATTTCCATGTGCAAAGTGACATGCGTCTGCATGGGTCCTGCCTGGAAAGCTTATGAGCAAGTCACCTAAGTGCTCTGATTCAGAATGCAAATTCTCAGGAGACAAGCACATGTGTCGTTGTAAGTACAAAGCTATCATCATCTTCCCACACAAATAAATGCCAAAGGCAAACAAAGAGCTTCGAAGTTTATTTGAGAATTATGTATCTGTGGGATTTTAGCCAAAATGCTAACAATAAAAGCTTGGCAACGTGCTGCCATTAGCTGAGACACTATAGCAGACACTGACACGTAGGAGATCTTGTTGGCTTTGGACACTTCCAGCCTCCTGCGGGCTTCACTTTTCACAGAGTTAGTTTGCAAGCTTGTTGGTCTGTTGGCTAAAGAGAACGGGTTGACAGTCTCTCCAGGAATTCACTCCTTTGTTGAGCAAAACTTAGTGAGTGACAACCAGAACGGATTTGAATCAATACTAAAAGGGTATCTATGTCTGTAAACCAGACTTTGGTGGACATACTGAGAATGGATAAATTCCCCAAATCTATAGTTTAGAAATAACTTTTGAATCTTGAGTTGAAGCTACCCCATAAAATCATCTTACAAAATTTTTTTAGCTCAATAAACAATATCTATCTGGAGAATTACCTGGATTGGACTGAAATGACACAGTAATGGTAAAGCACAGAGGACTTTAAAGGGTAGAGGGTAAAGGTTAATGGTGGTGAAACACATAGGTAGGACTAATGAGGATGGGAACATAAAACAAAGAATCTGACTAATGTAACCAAATGTACATTTAAAAGTTATTGGACAGGTCTATGTTTTGTTGTTCATATTTATACACACACACACACACACACACACACACACACAGAGATATCTATATTTGTGACATCAAATGTGTTTCTTAACCAATATGCCATAAGGTATCTTACCCTAAAATGCATTTCAAGAATGCAGCATGACTGTACTCTATGGCCTTCAGAATGATGGTTAGTATAAATTATGCAAAGGCGGTTGGCTTAGATATGGGATTTTTTTGGTTTAAAGTAGAGTTAAACCATCTACCCTATTGGGATGGGGGTGGGGGTGTGTGTGGGGATTGTATACCAATGAAGGAATTTTTCTTTTGCTTTTCAAGGAGAGGAGCGAATTTGGGGGGGGGGGGCGGGGAGAAAAGTGCAACAATGTAAGAATGGAATTCCAAAATCTCTGTAGATGTTCATTGAAATTAATTAAAAAAATAAATTTTTTTGTAAAAAAAAAAACCAAAAACCATCTACCCTAGAGTTAGATACACTTGTGTATTTCCTGAACATCTACCATGTTATGAGATATTATCCTTGTCCCTTGTGAACAGGGATATCTATCTAACAACTCAGAAAAATAAACCCATGAAGGGTAGATACAGGAGCTCTGGTGGCCTCGTGGCAAGAAGCTGTGCTGCAATCCCAAAGACACATTGTTTGAGGCCACCAGCTGCTCCGCGGAAGAAGCACAGGCAATCTCCTCCCATGCAATTAACTGTCTCTGAAAACCCGCCAGAAGGTCAGCTCTGGGACAGTATCAACTCTACAGTGTACAACAACAACAAGGGTAGATGCACTACATACTGATAGAGGTAACACAAATGTAGGGGAAATGTGGAGAGATGGATTACCATAGGCAAATCTGGTTGATGAGTCTTAAATTAATGAAGCAGGGAGGGAAAGCTGTTCGAGACAAAGATTACACCAAAGGAAAGTCTTGAACATAGAAAGGAACAGAGGATGGGCTGGAATTGGAAATGGGAGTGGTATCAGTCATTTGGTAGTGTTATAGAATTGTACTCAATCCACAAGACAACACGGAACCACCAGAGACTAGGAATTGACTTTAAAATTATTATCAGAGCCAGTAAAAATTAGAATCTACCTTGTGACATGGCAAAATTCCACAGCGATCCTTTCGGTCATGTACCACTCCCGTGGAAACATACGGCCGTACTTCTCCTCATAATCCACAAGCTGGCGTTTTATCCAGGCGTAGCGTCTGTCAATTTTGTCCAACCAGGCAACCTTATCAAGGCAGAGAACAAAAACTACCTTAGTGCTTAAAAACAACTTAAGGAAGCAAACAAAGACGCACGACCAAGGAACAAGCAACCTCTCTATTTCTTACTATTTTCAAGACTCTGATTCAGAGGCTATGTGCTTCAAGGGTCAGTAAAGTTCTTGAAACTGTATAAAGAGTTTTAGGTATAGGTGTATTTTTTTAGGAGAAGAGCGTAGTTCTCATTCATTTCTCTAAAAGACCAAAACCTCAAATTCATTGCCCTTGAGTCAGAATCAACTCATAGTGACACTTCCGTAGGTTTTCAGGGGCTGCAAACCACATGGGAGGAAACTGTTCATCTCTCTCCTGAGGAGTCACTCACTGATAAATTCGAACCCACAGAGAGATGCCATCTTTGGGTTAGCAGCACAGTTTCTTACCCACTGGGTCAACTGTAGTTGTAGAAAGCCCTAGTGGACTAGTGGTAAGAGGCTGTACTATAATCCCAAAGGCACGTGGTTTGAATCCACCAGTTGCTCCACAGAAGGATGGGCAATCTCTTCCCACGTAATTTACTGCCTCTGAAAACCCACTGGAAGGACAGCTATGGGTCAGTTCCCATGACTCAATGGCACCCAACAACAACAGGCCAGCTGAGTTCCCTGAAAGACCAATGACCTTAAAATGGTTAAGAACCAGTGAATGTGGTCAGTACCACCCCCGAAAGGAATCAGGGTTCAACAATCAACATAGTAAGACAGTAAGACCACTAAAATGGAAACTGGTAGGATTAAAAGCATTAACTGTCTAGAAAAATGCAAATAAAATAGCTGATCTCATTCAGTTAATACTTACATCTTGGTTTTCTTGAAAAAGTACTAGATACTCTGACAGATGCTGCTTAATAAACTTTTTTATGATCTCCTGTTTAATTCTGGGATCCAAAATATTTGCAACCAGACATGCATCTCTTAGGACATTGCTGGGTCCTCCAGGTCTCTGGTAAAACAAACAACATGCACCAGTTCAAAAGTCAGAAGCCACCTTGAAATCCCCTGGCCTCCTTCAGTGGCTGCCTCTTCTTTCTCTTTTTTGTCACTATCACTCCCACTCCTCTGACATGCATCCTTTCTGATGTGGGTGAATATTTTATTTGTTCCTCAATGAATGAACCAGTTAAGTAAGCCAGTCTCTCAGCAGCTAACATGAATGGGGCCAACAAGGATCACACAGTGAACACTGTACCTTCTGAATACCAAAACCAAGAGCACTTTGTTGAAAGGCTCTGAATGTCACAATGACAGTGGTCTCATTCTCCCTCTTCTTTCCCCTGATCCAACTTCTAGCTTTCCTGGCCTTAAGCTGATATTTGTGTCAAACAATGTGTGACCTTTAAAATAAAAAAGCAGGCTCCAAGCCACCAGATTTGTTTTACTGATAGTCAGCTGGCCCGAGACAGCCAAAGGAAAAACACTGCGGTACACTGGCCTATTGGATTGAAAACGGGAGCAGAAGGCCACTGCGGAGCTGAGCTGATGCATCAATTGTTGAACTGACTCAAAGCCGTGTAGTGTGGTTGTAAACAACAAAATCTGAAAAAGAAACTACTCTTTTTAATGAACTTAAACTAGATGATGAATAAGATTCTTCCAAACTTTTGTGATTTTGGGGGGAGTTGACTCTGTTCAAATAAACTGAAGCTCAAGGGTTTCGTAAGTGTTAGCTAAGTTGACCGAGACCTAAAATGCTGAAAAATGCTGACTTGCTCTATGCTGAGTGGCTGTTATGCTGTGCTCAGCTCTTGCCCCTGGATGAAAGTGTTTGATACGATAGAGGATAAGCAGGAGCCAAAGTCAGTGGGTTCAGATCTTTTCATTTAAAAAAGGCTTAAGAGGTTACTGTGGGTCGTTTCGGTTTTAATGTCTTCATTTCCTTTTGTGAAACTGGAATACTAACACAAGACCTTTTCAGAAAAGTCAATTACCTCTAAGAAGGAAAAAAGAGAATCTTTTCAAAAAAACACTAAGTCACAGAGCCAGAGGAAAGCTCTTAAAGAAAACCATTTTAACCTCATCTGGCTGGTGGAATTTGGGAAGAAGATAAAGTAGGTCATGGTTTGTTTCTTCTAAATAAGCTGGTTTCATCCACAGCTTTCTGAAGTGTCTTGAAACGGGAATGGGGCAGCAGAGTAAGTAAAGCAGATCTGGGCTGAAAAGGAGTGTAGTATTTAGGAATGAATATTCTAACAATCTCTTTTTACTTTTCTGTTCTCCATTTTCCTTATGTAGTAAATAGAAATAATGACTTTCCAGCAGCCAATTCCAGCAGTTCTACCAAATGAGAACAAAATATGAAATACTCAAAGATGTTTTTTTAAAAAAAAAATATCTGATTACTAGAGGCCAACCACGGCATCTGAAAATCTTACAAATCAGGAACAGACTTATAGAAAGAAAGTGATCTACAAAAGCTAGGACGGCCACTCCCACCTACTTCCTTAGCTTCTTTCTTTACACAAAGAAAAATGATTAGTATATTTCCAGTTATTGAATTATAGACCAGATCCAGGAAACCTTCCCTGGCTCCTAAATGAGCCTATCTCCCCCACCTCTGCCCACCAAGTGCAGGGATGAGACTTTCTCCCTATGTGTGCTTCTGTTTGCTTCTCCCTTCGACAGTTCTTTTTCTTGAAATAGCTCGAACAAGGGGTGGAGGGGGAAAGTTTCTGCAGGTTCTTCTCTCCCCTGACACATGCAAAGCATTAAGATTTCATCTGCTACAATTTGAAGGAGAACTAAAAGCAGTTCCCCAAGCTCGGTGACAGCCAAGTGAGGGAAAGCTGTTACACAAGACGTGTAACCAATACCTCACAGGAGAAATACTGTGTGCTTTGCAGACACAACACAAACAGATTCGCTCCCAAAGACAGTGAAAGGGCAGAAACTCCACAGGACAGGGTTCTGCCCGTGAAAGTGAGGCTTCTAACCGAGTCACTCTGAGAGTTACATAAGCCTGGGGACGCCCCTCCCTGTTGTCTTCTCACAAAGCTGAGACCAATAAGTTATGTAACGATCCTAAAAAATATTGTGGCTTCAAGTGTTGGTTTTTTAAAATTTTATTTTCTTAACACAGCCATGCGGAAAAAGGAATTTACAGGGCAGGCAAGATATTAGGTTAGACAGACATTAGATTAAACCAAAACAGCCTCGCTTTTTGATGCTCAAAGCACAAAGATGAAGAACTGATACTGCTTCTGGGATAGTGAAAATCAAGGCTGGTCTCATTAGCTGCATCTCGAGCAGGCAGGCTTTGCAGTGGGCAGCAATCACTTTTGGAATGATAAATGAATAGTTACTCTAAGCTCCCAGACCACGTTCACCGCTGGTGACTTGACTGAGAGATTCACAGGGACTGTGAAGACAGAGCCCATATGGCCCACAAGGTCTCCCAGGCTGGAAGCTTACAGAAGCAGGTCCACCTTTTTCTCCCACAGAGAGGCTGGCAGGATATAAAGGCTAATCTTTTTGTTAGCTGCCGAGCACATTACCCACTGTGCCACCAGCATTCCTTTACAGTCACTTCAGCAAATCAGAATCTGGCAAGAACAGTGATTATACATAAAGACAGGTGGGGAAATGCACAATACCTTAGTACCCTGGGATGGAAAGGCTTCTTCAAAATCGGCTAAGATCTGCTGTCCTAACTCAGTCTGGGCAGCCTTTACTCTGTCAGGAAAAGAGAAGACATCTGTCAGTGATTATGCACAGTCATAGGTGCCAGGCCTGCCTGGTCCTCCAGGAAGGCAGAAAGCATGTCTAGAAAAGAAAGGCCATGTCCTAGGACCAGGCTGATGACCAAGACCCAGGTACCTGACTTACTCTCAGGAGAGGTACTCTATTCCCAAAATTCTTCTAAGCTTCTCCTCACCTATTGTGAGTAATACACATTCATGTTTATAAAATTCAACTGGAAGGTAGTCATACAGTGGGGAAATGCTGTATTATAACATCCAAATCGTGGGGGGGGGGGGGCCAAGATGTCACAGCTGGCCCACTCCTTTGAGTACAGAATGAGAAGAGGGGTCCATATTGTTTCAAGATTTTCTTTTTCCAACCCAGAAATAAATATCAATATAAATAGCCAGAACTACCAAGCTAAAACAAATGTTATAAAAAGAATGTCTTCTGAAGCAAAAGAGAAAAAGATACAAATGATAAAATGAACTGCTAATTCTGAGTGAGGCAACCAGAATGAAGATTTCATTCTCTCAAAAGATGGTGAATCTGAACAACGAGTTACAAATGGAAACTAGTTAAGAAAAGGGAGGACAGGATTTAACACCGTGGCTTATGTTTGTATTTATACTGTGGTTGTTATGTATCAGAACCGACTCATAGTTGATCCTCCTGGGGGTTTTCAAAGGCTATAAATCACATGGGAGGAGACTGCCCATCTTTCTGCAGATGAGCAGTTGGTGAATTTAAACCACAGTCTTTTTAATTGGCAGTGAAATTCCTCACGAAGCCACCAGACCTTCCTATGTATGTACACTTGCTGTTGTTGTATGCCATCAAGTTGAACTGACCCAGAGCTGACCCTCCAGTGGGTTTTCAGAGGCAGTTAATCGCTTGTCCAGCAGCAAGTGGATTTGAACTTTGTACCTTTGGGATTGCAGTATAATTTCTTACCACTCAAAAACCATTTGATAGCTAGAGTGAAAGAGGAGAAACAGCAAGGATGGAAAAGAAACTGCTCCTTGGGCCCCCTGCAGCCAGTCACACGAGCCGCCATTGCTAGGATATGGGGGTTCCTTGGCCCAGGCACCCAGGGCTCTCAGCCCTCACTCAGACTGCCCTGAGCCCAAAGCACCTACTTTATCTTAGCTAAAAGCACCATAAAACAGTGTGCTTCCTTTCTTGGTCTCCGCCCTGTTACTTTAGAATTAACTAAGTTTCTAAAAGTGAAAGGCTCAAAACCACAGTTTCTTTGGCTCAGATGGAGGCAGTGCCTGGCAACCTGCGGGATTTTTTAAATGCAGGGATAGGCAAGACCTGAAACAGTGCTTTCCTGTGCCATAGTCCTGATTATGCCTTATTCCTGAGACTTTCCAGGGTTTTTCCACTATTTTCAAAACCAAAACCACTCTCAAAGGTGGGTTTGCAGCCACTGGTCATATCTTCTTTCGTGAGTTTTTAAGGAGGCCAGAAATTTCTGATGCTGCTATTGCTGGATTAGTCACCAGGATCTAGTTACCCAGCAGCCAGTGGGAAACATTCTTCCAGTGTAAACTCTTGACAGGAGCTGTACCTTGTAGCAGCCGTGACTTCCACATAACATAGCAGACACAGAGACTTCCCTTGGGCCAGGCTACAAGACAGAGCTTCCCAGAGAGTCAGTCGCTCTGTGCTGATCCTCCTCTTGGAAGCACAAAGACAGCGCAGTCCTCTCCTCAGCCTTATGGGTAATTCCTTTCTGTAAAATGCTACTCCTGGTCAGAGGCACTCACATGGTTCTATTCTCAGGGCTCCTCAGCATCTCAGTGACACCCAACAGTCCCAGCTCTGTCCTATCACTCACCTGTCCTGATTACTCCCTAATTTCATATTCTTCCTTGGCTCTGAAATTGAGAAAGTTAAAAAGAGCACCAGAGTCCTTAATAGGGATGATTAGCACCTCTAGAGAACTACAGAATCAGTGACTGTGATTTGTAGACCCCTTGCCTTGCATTTTCAAAGCTACTTACTGAGATATAATAGACTTTGTTGTGCCATTATTGACCTATGTATGTAACATGGGCTAGTTTTCTATCTGTGAAACATGAGGGTGAGGACGGACACTTGTGCAGGATGGCCTTCAGTGTCCCCTCTAGAGTGAATTATTCTGCAACATGCATCATCTAACACTAGCTCTGGCAACAACATCCATCTTCACAAGTCTGATGTATAATTAATGCTGGAAACAAAGAATGGGTATCTGTGCATAAAGGTTTCCAAGTTTAGTTTTTGAAGTAAACTCAGATGAAATATCAACTAATAGATATAGTATCTCTAAACACAAACCACAATCCCATGCATTTTTAGGGTAAGATATGAATAAAAGATTTTGCAATCAATTGCCTAAACAGAATGTTAGAAAGATGTACAACTTTGGCCTCTCTTGTTCAGTTTACTTCCTTTTCTTGTGATAAAATGTGTAAAGAGGGAGGTCAACTTGATCAGTAAGCATTTACATCAGCTGAATCATCAAGATTTTCTAGTCATCCTTATAAAATCAGTCTGTAACAAAGAAAGCATACAAAACCCAAAAACTGGGCCCACTGCTGACAAGTCCATTCTGACTCATGATTCAAGTTAAATTGATCCACAGGGGTTTTGGGTTTTGGATGTGTGGTGTCCTATAGGAAGTTGTGCTGCCAGCCAAAGGTGGGCCATCTCCTCCCGTGCCATTTATAGCCTCTGAAAACCCACTAGAAGGTGAGCTATGAGTCAATTCCAACTGAAGGTTTACAAACCCTATTGGATTTTCTTCCATTCATCTCCATTGTGTTTTCTAATATAATCACATTACCCACAATGTCTGATCATACCCTTAACACTTACTTTCTCTTCACTCATCTTAATAAGTGTTTATTATTAAATTACTAATTTTCACTCCCTCTCTCTCCCTTCTCATCCCTGGTAACTATGCAAGAATAATTCTACCTGGATGTACACCTTTCTTTAGCTTTTGATACTAGTGGTTTCATACATTATTTGTCCTTTTGTGATTGGTTTATTTCATGCAACATAAGTTCCCAAGAGCTGGTAACAGAGGCACAGGAAATCATGCAAATGATTTAGACATCGGTGCATAAAGTAATTCAGGCACTTCCATTGCCCTGTGAGCGAAAGTCATAAAGAAAATAGGTTGAGCTGTGTGCCAGCCGGGGAGGGCTGTGCTGGACCAAATGCATGGGTTAGTCAATGGCTACAATTCCCAACAGGGAGGCTCTTAACCTGGACTCCCAGAGCAACACAGTGGAATGCTTAGGAGATCACTGAATAGAACCCATTTACTTCAGAAACTGAACTGGAGACCTTGAAAAAAATCTGTTAAAGACGCTCAGCTGGTCAGGTCTCTCCATTCCCAAGTACAGCTGCTTTACACTGGACCCTGTGGTCACCCAACTCGCCAAGAATCTCTCACATATAAGAGGTGAAATGCGGCCCTGAAAAATAGCAGTGTAGCACAAAAGTTTTACAGTTTTCAAGAGGCTTCAGGAATTCTTCCATTCTTCCCTGGGGAATGCTGACTAATTACTAGAAACGGTTGTTTTCATGGATATGCTCAAGCCAGAAGGAGGCTTTGAAATATAAAGATGATATTAAAGAATGAAAAAATATTTCCTTCAATGCTCCATTAAACATTTATGCATTTTCCAGAAGGGCAGCTGAAAGAGTGAGCTACATTCAAATCAAAGCTCATGAATTTCATCCTTTAAATGTGCAGACCCAGATATTCAAAAATAACTGTTGTCATGATTTCTACAATTTATAGACAGCAAGCGATTAAATTAGAAAAAGTAAAGCAATGCATAGGGCGTAACTCGCCAGCTTCCCCCCTTCCCCCCAAAACAAACAGCTATTTCTATCACTTCCAGATGGTTCTGCCATTGCTATGTAAACATAAGGGAGGAAAATTCACCAGAAATGATACTAAAAAAAGAAGTCTGTACTTTCCTCAAATTTTAGTACCTCTTAAAAAAATGATCGCAGTCAAGCACTGACAGCAAGGGTTTTCTTCTTGTATCCTTTTTAGTGTCACTTAATGGGACATATTCTACAGTAACCAACACAAAACTTTGGCAAATAGAGGTTGTGAAACAAAATGTAAATTCTCCTTTGTTTGCAGCACCCTTATGCAGTAACAGTGAACACTGGAGCATCTTGGAAGTAAGGACTCTGAAACTCCATCTCCTGTACTTTGGGCACATGGCCCAGAGGAACCATGCCTTAGAGGAGGACAACATGCTCGGAAGGGTGGAGGGACAGTGCAGGAGATGAGCTGGATTGATACAATGACTGTGGCAATGGGGTCAGGTGTGTCAGAGATGGTGAGACTGGCCTGGGATAGGGCAGGGTTCAGGGCTGTTGTTCACAGTTTCTTTAAGATGTACTTGATTCAATGGCACATAACAGCAACAAGGGGAATGTCATAACAGAGAATACCACAGAATTTCTTCACACTTAAAAAATTACCTTATGCTGTGGGGAAGAAATGTTAAAAAACCAAGAATCCTAACAGAGTTCACTGCCTTTTTTGTCCCTCAATTGGTTTCTAGCAATTAAATTTGGTTTTGCCATATTCCTTTCCTCATCAGTGCCCACCCCACCCAGCCAAACGGTAATCAACTTTCAAATCCACCTCTTACCTGCTCCTGGGCCTCATGCCTGTTGCTGGGATGAGATTATGACTTCAAATCTAGGCCAGTTTTACTCTACAGTCTCTTATACCTATATTTCCTAGTCTTTTATAAGACACGAGTCTGATTAAATCTTTCCTTGCTCAAAAAAATAATGACGAGAGGGAGCTCTGGTGGCCTAGTGGCAAGACACGGCACTGCAATCCCAGAGGTACATGGTTCAAATCCACCAGATGCTCTGCTGGAGAAGGAGGGGGCAATCCTCCTGTACCAGTCAGATCTGATTTGACGGTACACGTAAAAATAATACAATAAAAATTTAAA